ACCAGCAAAATGTGCTGTCCCTGCGGAAGATCGTACCTCTTCCCACGCCTGCAGATGCCAATGATTGGCTCGACAACGACTGGAGAGCTCTGATCCACCCCAGTCTCATCTCCGCCAAATTCTTGCACCAGATCCTTGCCATCCCTCTGTGGCATCGCAATCGCGGCGAAGGAGCCATCAAGGAAGTCATGATTTTCACTGATGGCTCGGCCTCCACCACACCATTTGATATTGCTCCATGCTCATGGGCGTTCACTGTCTGGATATTGACAGAATCCGGACTGCGCTTTTATGGTGCGGCTGCGGGACTAGCCATGCCCACTGCAGCTCCGTGCCATATAGGCGAGGTTGGCAACACCGCCCTGACAGGCGAGCTGCTTGCGCTCTCGTGGGCCATTGTGTGGGCCATCGAGTTCGGACAGCCATTTGGTGCCCCCATAGCTTTTTACTATGATGCCGAGGCAGCTGGAAAGAGCATTTTTGGGGAATGGCGACCAGTCTCATATCCCCATCACGATAGAGGGGTCACGGTTGTAGATTTTGCCTCCTCCCTTAGGCAGTATCTTCAAAGGGTTTGTGACATCCGTCATCGTCATGTGAAAGGGCACTCAGGGGCTCTCGGTAATGAGGCCACAGATGCCGTTGCCAAGACCGCACGGCGTCAAGCCTATGTCGCCGATGCCACGTGCTTGCCATCGTGGCCTGCAGAGCTCTTTGCCCACCCATTGCTGAAATGGACATGGATGCTCGCTGCGAATGGCCCGGATGTTCCAACTCTTTTTGCTTTAGAGTCTGAAGCAATGCGCCTTCGTGACAGACCCGTAAATCCCACAGTAGCACCCAACCTTGGGATAACTCAGGTTACGCCTCCTAAAGGCCGAATTGATTTCAGCCTCACAGTTGTTTCCTTCAATGTCCTTACGCTTAAGGACATCAAAGGTAAGACTGGACCCGTCCCTGCAGGCATGATGCTCATGGGTCGACGGGCAATGCTCAAGCGTGAGTTCGAGCGACACAAGCCTCTCTTGATAGGCCTTCAGGAAACACGCCTTCAAGAATCTGTGCTGGCCCCGGATGACCAGTATTACATTTACCAGGCGTCTGCCACTGATCGTGGCGTTGGAGGCTGCGCGCTGTGGGTCGCCAAAAAGACCCCTTACGCCTGGGCAGGCGGGGAAAAGTTTTACTTCCAAGAACAGCACATTGTCATTGCCGGACATTCTTCCCGGCATTTGTGTGCTTCCATCATTGCACCACATCTTCGACTCTTCGTTATTGTTGCCCATGCTCCTTCTTTAGCCAATCACCCGCGTAGTGAAGTCATTGAGTTTTGGCAACAGCGGGCTTCCGACATATCTCGTCGCCCGGATGGTACACAATGCATTCTTCTCGTAGACGCCAACTCGCAGGTTGGCGAGGTAGAGACGGAGCACATATCCAACCATGATGCAGAGCCGGAAAACGATGCTGGTGTGCTGTTCCACCACTTTCTAGCACAAACATCGCTGTTTCTTCCTGCGACCTTTGAGGGGGTCCACACCGGGGGCAGCCACACTTGGCGATCTTGCCTAGGACAGACCCATCGCATAGATTACGTAGGGCTGCCAATTGTTTGGAAAGAGATGAGCATTCGTACACAGGTTTTGCATGGGTTTGAAGCATTACAGCTGCGGGAGGATCACTCTCCTGTTACAGCGATCATCCAATTTTGCAAGCCTGTCACTGATGCACCATACCTCGACTGTCGGCGCAGATGCGTACGTCCGCACCCGGCCGTTTCTGAGGAACAGCAGACTGAGCGTCACGCTCAACTACAAAGCCTTCCGCACTGTCCATGGCATGCCAGTGTCGATCAGCAGTACGCACACTTTGTGCAACAATGGACCGAGGCCGGTCGTGGCATGATGCCTCCGACTAGTTCTCGCCCAGTGCAGTGCTACATACAACAGGACACAGTTGTTACTGCTAGGTGGTGCAAAGCCCTACGCACCTACCTCAATGCCGAACGTCAGGAGCGCCAGCGTCGCTGGCTTCTAATCGGCTTTGCCGCTTTTCGACTTCTTCGTGATCACGAGGCTTTTGCTGGTCCGGCCCACGAAGCCGCCGACACTTGGCTACGTGACATGGACTATAGCGAAGCCATTGCAGTTGCCACTCTGAGGGTGCTCTCCAAGGCACTTCGTAGGCGTGTCTCCCAGGACAGGATTGCCTACCTCCATGGCCTTACTCGTGAGGTCACACTGTGCGACCTCAAACATCCAGCAGATTTATACCGAACAGTTCGGAAGGCATTCCCTACAGCGAAATCATCGCGTCGCAACGGCCTTAGGCCATTGCCTGCTGTCATAGATCAAGAGGGCTGCTTAGTCACCACTCCTGCAGCCAAATCTGAATGCTGGCGTCGACATTTTGCAGAACAGGAGGCAGGCATGACAATGACGGCGCAGGAATACGTTGAAGCCTTCCCCACCACTGTTGTCGACAAGCCTACTTTTGATCTTCAGTCCGTTCCATCGCTGTGTGACCTGGAGTCCATCATTGTGGGATTAAAGGTCCGAAAGGCAGCTGGCCCGGACAACATCTCGGCTGAGTTGCTGAAGATTAGCCCCACCGTCGCCGCCAGGGCCTTATTTCCCATTACCTTGAAGACAACTCTTGCTCTTCAAGAGCCAGTTGAGTTCCGCGGAGGGGTTTTATGTTGCCTGGCGAAGAAGATTGGCTCTTCACTCCAATGTAGCAACTTCAGATCAATCCTCATTTCTTCAATTCCAGCGAAGGTCTATCATAGACATTTGAGGAACCAATTACTGCCAGTTCATGCCAGCCACAAGCCATCACTTCAGATGGGAGCCCTAGGCGGCACAGGCATAGAGGCAGTGGCACTCGCCGCCCGCAGCTTTCAGCTACGTTACCATCAGCAACGAAAGCTGTGGGCCCTCGTGTTCGTTGACATTCAGGCAGCCTTCTATAGTATCATTCGCCAGATGCTGGTGCCGCACCGGGACGACGACACGCAGCTGTTGGCCCTTTTTCACCGCATGGGTCTACCGTCAGGAGCAATCGACGAACTCCTGGCACAGCTGCACCGGCTCTCGATCCTACCGACATTGGATGCACCGGCACAACTGACTGCGATGGTTCAAGACATGATGAGAGCGACTTGGTTCAGAGTCGACGCTTACGACGTCCTAACATGGACGGCGTGCGGGTCGCGCCCAGGCGACCCCGCCGCCGACATTCTATTTGCACTGTCGTTCAGCGCATATCTTCGCACCACGCAGAATGCACTGCAAGATGCGGGCCTAGACCTTGCAGCCGAAGACAATGCAGACAGGCATCCATGGGCCAGTGGAGCGGAAGGCGAGACCATCGCCTGCCCTGCCTGGGCAGACGACTTCTTCGTGCCCCAACAGGGCAACAGTCCGGGCCAGTTAGTTGACAAAGCAGTGCGAGCGACTGGCATTGTCACTTCCAGAGCCACTTCCATCGGCATGCGCTTGACATTTGCGCCTACGAAGACCGCGGTTCTTCTACCTGCTGGCATTGATTGGTCACAACACTGCGACATACTAGTCCACACTGACGACGGTCTAGGCCTGACAATATGGGACTCTGTCGCACAGGAGGGGCACGTTTTGCCAATCGTACATGCCTACAAGCACCTTGGGGGCATTCTTACTTCGAGCGCGACGCCGAAACCAGACCTTCTGTTGCGGCGCTCACAGGCCTATGGGGCCGTGCGTTCCTTGAAACGTAAGCTGTTTGGCAATCGCGACATTCCCCTCGCCATCAGGCGGACACTCCTCCATGCTTTGGCCCTCTCCAGACTTGTTCACTCCAGTGCGGCTGTCATCTTGCCTGCCGCCATCCATCAGCGTACCTGGGACAGAATGTATGTCGATGCATGGCGCGCTTTGACACCTCGGGTTGCAGAGGACAAATCTGTCCACAGTCTGGAGGTCTTAAGGAAGGCAGCCGCCCCCTCACCGCCACTTGCCCTTGCCAAAGCCAGAGCTGCCCTCCTACGGCAGATAACAATCAATGGACCTGCAGTCCTGCGACAATACTTGTTTGATCATTGGTCTGGGCACCCTGCCAGCTCTTGGTTCAGACAGGTCGAGGCAGACATACATCTTGTCAGCTCCTACCTGCCACAGTTGAAGCCACTTTTCCAGGGCTCGGAGCCTTTACATACCTTGCTTGATGCCCTCGCTGAGGATGCAACATGGTGGCTCCAGCAGGTAAAAAAGGCACATGGCGTCTTTCAGAAGGGATTGGCGCAATGGGCCAAAACCGGGTCCATACACTTTGCGGATGGAGGCGCGGCGGACTCGCAGCAGCTAGAGTCAGCCCCTCGTCCCTACCAGTGTCACCTTTGTCCCGCGGGTTTTCCTTTAAGGAAACACTTAGGGACGCACCTCTCCAGACGGCATCAGGTGTGGAGTCCGGCACGTCATTTTGCATTTGGAGACTACTGCTTGGCCTGTCATCGCTGGACAGGCAGCATCCGTCTGACCCAGATGCACTTGAAAACTAAGGACCGCTGCCTACGGCGAATGTGCAGCATTCTGCCACCTATGTCGACCGAGGAAATTCGTTCCGTCGAGGCTGCTACCGTCGCAGCAGAGAAAAGCCTGCGAAAAGGCCAGTGGCGCAGCTTCCGCGGGGTACAGCAGTCCTCCACACATTTCTTCCCCCTCATCCCTACGGCCGCAGAGCGTGTACAGGGGTTGGACTTTTATGACGAGGAGGTGACTTTAGACACCTTGAAACCCGTCTACCAACCCAAGCAGGAGGACATTACATGGATAGATTCTCACATTGCCGCTCGCTCAGTCGAAGGTCCGAGGACGACAGCGAAGGCCTTTTGGATGCGGGGTCCATGTGCATGCTCTTTTTGAATTCGCAATTTTGGGACGCGCCACAAGACGTGGCTCGACGGTCCGAACTCAATCAATCAATTTAAACCGCGAGCCCCTAAAGCCCAGAGCTCATCCCAGGCTGCCCTTCGGTGACTTCATGCAGAAACTGTTGCAGCTGAGAGGCAAAAACACGGCGACGGTCAAGGCAGGAAAGTCTGGTAGGCTTCGTTCGGGGCCTTGCAGTCAGAATTTCCCTAAACCCTAAACCCAATCGAGCAGATGTTTTTGTGTTGGTTGTGGGTTAGCCTTGGAGTTCAGGTTTTTGAGCTGTGGTTCGAGGTCTTCGGCTTTAGTTGAGACTTGCGAAGATCCCTGAACTTTCAAGCTTAAATTCCGAACCCGACGCCCTGCACCTTAAACCGTCATCGTCGTTTCCGCGTGAGGGGTTCTCGGTTTCAAAACCCTACATGCACACGAAAGCTTAACTCCTTTGAAACGTTTGTTGTGGATGTAGTCGGTGGATGGACCATTCGGCTTTTGCTGCTCAAAATTTCTGTTCTGAGCCGAAAGCTTGGGGTTCACCAGCAAAACATGAACCTGCAGTGTTCATACATGTTTCTAAATGAGTTTGCTGAGTTCAGGAAGAAGAGTTTGCACAAATCCACAGCGGCCTTCTGTCGCAGGATCTCGTTGATCTCCGCAAGTGGATCAGCCACCTGCCATGCATTGCGAGCCCTAAGAGCCGCAAGCCCTACACCCTGAGCCTCAACCCGCCTACACACTAGGCCCTTCTTGCTTTACTACACTCCACCCTAAGCCCTCCACCCTACGCCCCAAACCGTTGGCCAAGCACCCTAAGCTTCCGATTTGGGTACAGGCCTTCGAGGTTACAGTCTTGCCCCCTAACTAAACCCTCAACCCTCAAACAATAAGCCCCAAAGCCCTTAAACCTCACTGAATAGAAGAACTTTAAACCCTAAACCCCATTTCCAACCCTGAAACCCAAAACCCTGAGCCCCTAAACCCTAACCCCTGAACCCCTAAACCCCTAAACCCCTAAACCCCTATATAAACCCTCACCCCTAAACCCTGAACCCCTAAACCCCTAAACCCCTATATAAACCCTGAACCCCTAAACCCTGAACCCCTACACCCTAACCCCCGGACCCCAAGCCCAAGAAAGCCTCTAGTCTCATCAAGCTCAGGTTTCAGTGCGTCGAGTTGCCTAGAAGATACTTTGGGGGGTTTCGAATCAGGGTTTAGGGTCTATATAGGGGTTTATATAGGGGTTTATATGTGCCAGCATCTGCGCACCCCCCCCCCCCCCCCCCCCCCCATCGTACCCCCCCCCCCTGTGGTACCTGTGGTTCCTCTGCTTGTCTCCTTTCTCCCCCCCCCCCCCTGTGGTACCTCTGGTTCCTCTGCTTGTCTCCTTTTCTGCCTGCTTCTCGCCCCCCGCCTGTGGTACCTGTGCTTCCTCTGCTTCTCTCCTTTTGTCCGTCGTGTCTGCTTCCTCTGCTTTCCTTGCTTCTCTCCTTTTGTCCGTGGTTTGTGCTTCCTCCGCTTCCACGCCGGGGGGGGGGGGGGATACCATTGGGGGGGGGGGGGGGGGGGGGGTCGAGAACGCGGAACGCGGGCACATATATAGGGTTTATATAGGGTTTATATAGGGTTTATATAGGGTTTATATAGGGTTTATATAGGGGTTTAGGGGATTTAGAGCCTTAGGGGCTTTTAGGGTTCAGGGTTTCATTTCGGGTCTATAAGAGTTCTACAAGGGTTCTGCAATGGTTTGGGATTTAGTGTTGAGGACGCGGGACTCCGGGTTTGTGGAAGAGGGTCTACGGCCTGGTGGGGGTTGTGATGCGGTAAGCGCGGTAGCAAGAGCCCGTTGGCGAAGTATTCAACCCCGGCTGAGGGTAAGACCCTGGACCCAAGCCACCACACAGCCCACCGGAAGTCTGGTCTGCCAAATGCGAGGTCGTGAGATGAAAGAGCAGTTTCCTGGCATCGGCGTTAAGGTTTCGTTCGAGTTCAAGGATGCAGGTTTTGGCTGTACAGTTTGGTTCTGGGTGATGTCGGGTAAGTTCAAAGATCATGTCGGTAACGACGAGCAGACGGCACGGAAGCTGATACGATTACTGTTGCTATGACTATGCCTTACGATTATGACTGACTACTACTCCTACCGATGCCAGTGCAAGAACGAGTACTAGTAAACTTTCAGGACCGGCCAACCTTAAACAAGGAACGCGGGCTCAGGGATTGGGACCTAGAATGTAGGGTATTGTATATCCCCAAACAGGGTGGTGTCGACTCCAACTGATGAGGACTCCCTTCTCGTATCCTCCGCTTCGAAATCCCAAGCTTGCGACCCAACGCTAAGCTTTTTTCCCCGAGCGCCCAAAAGCAACGCACCGGAACTTGAGGCAGGAAGCTCCAAAACCTTAAACCCTAAATACTGAACCCTAAACTACCCTAAACCCTACAGCTTTAAACCTTCCTAAGCTACCTCAAACCCTCACCCCCAAAACCTTAAACCCCAAACCCGAAGACTTAAGGAATCGGAAGCTTCGTGCACGAGAGAACGGCGAGCATGTTCCACCAGAGAACGGCGAGCCGCAGCCCAGCCCAGATCGGCTTTCGTTTGGAGGGTTCCTTTCAAGGCCTCCTTGAAGGATTCCTTAAGGATTCCTTTGAGGGTTCCTTTAAGGGTTCCTTTAAGGCTTCCTTGAAGGGTTCCTTTGAGGGTTCCTTTAAGGGGTCGGTCCTGGAAGGGTTCCTTTAAGGGTTCCTTTGACGGATTTTGAGGGTTCACTTAAAGGTTCTATACTGGGGTTTTGCCGCTGTGGGTTTTGTGAAAGGGCTTCTTCGACCCGAGCCCAGAAAGCCTGCGATCCCGTAAGTTAGGTGGCAAGCTTCTTGAATCACCTACCAAGCCTTCGTTTAATCTGAAAGCAGAGCTGCCGACAAGCACGAGCTGAGGCAAGAGCTGAGGCAGAAAAGCGAGGAGCTCGCGCAGCTTGGTTTGTAATTGTATTGTTGTTTAACTTTTATTTGATTATATATATATATATATATGAAATCTGTCAACCTCTTAGAAAAAGAAGAATTAGGTACGTATATACCACTGTTGGCAGGGTATTGAAGTTGTAGGAATAAGAAAAATATTTTTTCTAAGTCCCTTTCTTGTCGGGGGAAGGTGGACGGCTCTTGGTTTTGGAGTTCTGGCTTGAGAGGAAGGTAGGGCTTATGTTTCGGATCCGTAGCTGAATCATTAGGTCAGGTTTAATGTAGGAGCCTGATTAAGAAACCCTGGCCTTATAACCCCCCAAAATAGTAGGATTCACATGCAGAAGCCCAAAAACAACGCCCAGGGTGTCTTAATCAGGTTCCTGAATTCATCTTCCTGGGATTTAGTTCAGGAACAAGCAGTTTAGGCCTCTCTGAGAAGGGAAGTCAGGAAGGAGGTGCCGCTGGGTGAGGGCTCTGGATAAGAGACCCCAAGACACCATAATCAAGGCATATCCCTTAAGTATCATAGAACTTTGACTCAGATTCAGTGATATATAGATAATTTTCATATCCCTTGAGATTGGTAGAGCTTTAACTTTAACTCAGCTTACCGATGGGGAATGCGCACCTGATGTGGTACCCCGCCATGACCTGCACCAAACCCGGGACCCTGAGCCCTAAACCCAAAGCCCTGAATCCCGGAACCCTAAACCCAAATCCTTCAACCCTGAACGCTAAACCCTAAACCCTAAATCCTAAGCCTAAACCCCGAGCCCTACATCCTAAACCCTAAACCCTAAACCCTAAATCCTAAACCCTAAACCCTAAACTCTCAAGGAAGTGATAGATGGAAATTGCTTGTCCTTGTTTGTGACCACCGCTGCTAGGGCCCAGCATCTCGGTTAAAACTGGCGTTAGCTTCTTGATAATCCAATTTCGCACAACCACGACCTCAACCATTAACTCGGCCCAGCCAACTCAAAACAGCCACCACAACCTCAAGCATTAACTCAGCCCAGCCAGCTCAAAACAGCCACCCGGTCAAAAACGGAACAAGCTTCTTGATAAACCAATTTCGCACAACCACGACCTCAACCTGTAACTCAGCCCAGCCAGCCCAGCAAGCCCGGTCCAGCCCAGCCCAGCCCAGCCGGCAGTAAAAGTTGAATAAGCTTCTTGATAAACCTATTTCTCCACAAACTTGTAACCACCATTACAGCCCAACACACCGCTTAAAATTGAACAAGCTTCTTGATAAACCAATTTCTCCACAACCTCCAACCCAGGCCCACCTTCCCAGACCCCAAGACCCAGACCCCAAATCCAAGCACCAAAACGCCTGCCAGGTCCCAAATCCATCCAAGCTCCCGACCCAAACCAGGCCCCCCAGGCCCACCTTCCCAGATCCAGGCCCCAAGGCCCACACCCCAACCCCCAATCCAGGCTCAGGCCCAGGCCCAGGCCCAGGCCCCAGACCTACCCAGACCCCAAACCCAGCACACCTTCCCAGATCCAGACCCAAAACACCCCCAAATCCAAGTCCCCCTCCAAATCCAGCTCGCTGCAAACACCAGGCCCCAAATCCAGACCCAGCCCCAAGCGCAGATCCCAGTTCCAGGCCCCAAACTCCAAGCAGACCCCAATCCGAGCGCCACCCAAATCCAGACCCCCAAATAAAGGCCCAGCCCCAAATCCAGGCCCCGACCCAGCAAATCCAGGCTGCAGACCCCAAATCCAGCCCCAAATCCACAACCCCAAATCCAGGCCCCAAACCCAGGCCCCAAACCCCAAATCCAGGCCCAAACCCAATCCAGGCCCAGCCCCAAATCCAGGCCCCAGACCCCAAATCCAGGCCCAGCCCCAAATGCACCAAATCCAGGCCCAGCCCCACCAGAGCCGCAGCCCCAGAGCTCCAGCCCCCCCCCCCCCCCAGCAAATTTCAAAACATGGTTCGCAAAAAAAAACTTTCGTTCAAAACTTTTGGTCAAAAAGTTTCGTTCAAAACGTTTTTGGGACCCAAACCCTTAACAATTTCTATAAACCCTAAGCCCCGAGCCCCAAAGTCCGATTTCGAAAGCTCGCAGCTGTGCCGGCGAAGGCCCGCGCCGCCCACCCGCGCCATCGCGAGCTCAGGGTGGCTGTCGGGTTATCGGTTTAGGGTTTAGGGTTTAGGGTTTAGGGTGTAGGGTTTAGGGTTTAGGGCCTGGGTTTAGGGCCTTCGCTGTGGGATCCCATCAGGATTTCGCTTAAAGTTCTTTTGCGGTGTAATTTTGGGTACTATAGAAGAGGTTCACGGGGAGGCACAGCTCCCAAACCGGTAGAAAGCTAATAAGATCAAGTACCGAGCTCCCAATGCAGAACTTATCATTGTGGTCTCAAAGCTCAAGGAACAGCCTAGATCAAGATGGTTTAGGGTTCTAGGGTTCAGCATATAGGGCTCATGTTGACAGGCTAGGAAATCCTGAACGGAATGCAAGGGTTGTTGTCGGTGCAGCAGCCTTGCCATCTCGAACGCTAGTACCAAGAGTAAGGGCCGTGGGCATGTCAGAACCCCACCGGTGCCGAAGAAGTGCGACCACGTGTCAGGTCCCGCAGGTAGTTTGAGCCGCTGTTACACCGTAGGCATTTAGGGAATTGAGGCTCAGGATTTTGAAGCTCGCGGATTGAATGCGGCACGTTTCGGGGCAACGATTCATTCTTAAGTTCATGGCCGATGCTGAAGGTTGGGTTCCGTAGGCGGGTTTTAAGGCTCCGGGAACGCCAAGCCTTCCGCCATGGGTTCAGGCTGTGGTGTGACTTCGGGGAGGTTCAGAAAAAAAGCAAGCACCAATACCGGCGAAGAGTAATTGGCAGGATCCTCACTTGGAATTTCAACAAAACGACCTATCTTTAGAGAATGTCTGCTAACCCATCCACTACTAATGGATATAGTGGCCTGAACAGTTTTGCAGTATCCCCTTGTGCTAAACCGTACCGGAGTCAATGAGTGGCGTATCTCCCCAACATCGCAGAAGTTTGCCCTCGCAAGTCTCTCTCGCAAAGTCTCATAGAGCGCTACATCTTCATATTTATTTTTGGGCCTGAGGGTTACGTATCACTACCAGGCTGTTCGATAGTGCCCTTTAGGACAAGTCTAGCCCCGCCGAATACCTACAGGTGGACCAACGGCACGCAGAGGCGCGCACGAGCCATGATTCTTTCGGCCGGATTCGCATAGAGCTTCTTTTGCGGTTTTGGGGACTTAGGTTGACCAGCCGATTCTTCAACGAACTGGCCCCAGGAACGCCCTAGTTGGGCCCAGATGCGAAACCCCAACTCCCGAAACCCTAACTCACAGAACCCGCAACCCCAAACGCTAAACCCGAAGCCTAAAGCCCTATACAGCCTAACCCCACAACCCTTAGCCCAAAAGCCCACACCCCAAACGGTGAATCTTAAACCCCAAGTCCATGGTGGCCTTTGTCCTAAATCGAATCCTTAAATGGGAGTTTCCGAAAACAGGGGGCCCTAATGTAGTACCCTACATAGTGGGATCCTTCTTATAAGGGCCCCCCCAAATAAAGGCTGCCTTGGGACTGTGCAGAACAGCCCTCAGCCCGAGACCAGCTTTATGTCATTGTCAGGGATCCAGAAGTTTATTATATGGTTTCTTCAAACGGGTCTTACATGAGTTATACACGGTTTCTGTAAGACTGCAAGGTTTCTGCAAGGTTCTCACTATTCTGCTGCGACTTTTCTTGATCAGTTCTTGAGTCAAGGATCTTTTCAAATCGAATTCTTTGAGGTTTATGTTCAGAATCCTTTTTCCCTAGAATGCTCCTGCCTCCTGCGCCATCAGCCCTCGAACCCCACACCCTGAAGCTAAAACCCTGAGCCCATGATCCCAAATCTAAAATCTCCAGCCCTCCTCCATGTAGCCGAAAAGCCCCATTTCCCAGGTCCGACGCTGAAAACCCATATGGGTAGTTGTCAAACGTATGGCCCCTTTTTGGGGTACCATAAATAAGGGGTGCCGTGTTATAGTAGGGACCCCAAAAATGGACCATAATTTTGACAACCACCCCCTTTTCTCATCTCCGAGTGGGAGCCCGAACACTTCGGGGCTTGCGTCTCTCAAGCCAGGGTCCTCGCCCGGTTAATAAAAGGGCCGAAACAAGTACCAGTACTATTTTTTTGGGGCTCCTGATTATATTTATAGTCTAACATGTCCCTGAGACCTTATTCTAGTTATTGAGGCCCCTATATTGCGCATTCTTCTGGGGATCCGAACAGGAAGCCTGATCGAGAGAACTGCCCACATCCCACACTACCGACTTCAACAACCCAGACTCCCGGCTTCCCACATCCCAAAGTCCAAACCCTTCACACTGCATCCCGAGCCCCTGAGCCCTACACGCTCCAAACCTGGGTCCCAAAGCTCCAATCCCTAAGCCCCGGACACCACATCCCACCCAAGCCCACATGTGTCATCCCAATCTCGCGCAATTCATCCACCGTGACCTTCGAAGGGGAGCAATCTCCGCCCCACGTCCAGAAGATGGCTTTGCCGTCGTCCCTGGCCAGGCGAGGAGGGAATGGGGGTTTAGGGCTTTTCGGTTGAGGTTCAGGCTTTTTCGGGTCTAGGGTTCAGGGGTTTAGGGTTTTGAGTTTAGGGTTAATTTAAGGTTTGGGGCTTCGTGTTTGGTGTTCAGTTTGAGTTGACGGTCTGGCGTTTCTGGCCCGCGCAGCCTAAGCTACCTTTCCCAGTATATGACCCCGTCAAACATTGGCTGTCAATGAGAGGTTTGTTTATGTTCTCAGGACCCGAAAAGCAGCTAAGCATAAGTTGCTTACCTTGCTACGGCTACTACCTAAAACCCTAAACCACAAGTCACAAGCCCTAAACCCTAAATCCCGAAGTCCTAAACCCCAAAACTCTAAATCCCGAACCCTGAATGAAAACCCTAAGCCTTAATTTCGTCTTTTTCTTTTGGGGCATGGGTAGCCTGGGAAGCTGTTCCTTTCAGCGCCGCCGATTAAACCACACCCGAATCCTCAAGGCCTAAATCAGTAAGACTCTGAGCCCCAAACCCTAAACCCGAGCAGTACCGACAGCCTTCTGGAGTCAAAGGAGCGGTGCATTACACTTAAAAAAAGCCCTAAACCCCTAAACGCCCACAGCCTCAAAGCCGGAATCATGAATGGCCCTAAGCCGCAAACCGTAAACCTTAGACCCTGAGCCCTACCCAGAGACTCCAATATCCCCTAACTAAGAAATTTCTCTAAATCATACTGGTGATGCTACGATAACTTAAGGATTCTATTCCCTGAATTCCCTTCTAGGACCCTTATGGATCCCTTTCAGGAAGGAACCTTTAGGTATATTCCTGAGTAAAGGGATAGTGGAGTCGCTGGATATAGGAAGCAAGGCGCTTTTCAGGTCCCAACTCCCGAAGGCTCGGGACCAAAGCCCAGAAGGCACCAAAAAGCTTAAACCAGTAGAGTTTAGGGTTTAGGGTTTAGGGCTTTGGGTTTAGGGCTTAGGGTTTAAGGTTTAGGGCTTTGGGTTCAGGGCTTAGGGCTTTGGGTTTAGGGCTTTGGGTTTGGGGTTTGGGTTTCGCGCTTAGGGTTTAGGGCTTAAGGGCTTTGGGTTTAGGGTTCCTGAACCACTATAGCCAACCAATACTAAAACACGAGAAGCTCAACAGTAGAAGCCCTGAAGTTGGAGCATGATGATCTTTTACCCTCAAAGTACTTGTAGCATGGACATAGAGGAAAGTCCCATCATGAGTCATATGTATCCCATCTTTCAAGTTCTGGGGTTCATTGCGTATCTACCCCGATCAGCCCCTATGAAGATCCTAAACTCTAAACCCTATAAGAGCTTCTACAGACCTGGGGGTTTCCAAAAATAGGGGACCCAAATATAGCACCCTAAATATTAGGATCCTTATTATAAGGACCCCCAACAAGGTACCCCTAGTTTTCGAAAACTCCCACCTACACCCCAAGCTCTAAACCCGAAAGACCGGGGTCCAGTAAGATCTTCAAAGACAGTTGAAATCGGACTGCCGTTGCCATCCCAGAGCGCGACTCTATGCCCTGAACGCCAAACACCATCTATGTGCCTTGAGTTTGCTTGGATCTCGAGCGGATGCAAAAACGAGTTCAACAGACAACCCAAAGCACCCCAAACCCTAAACCCCAACCCCATACACCCTCATAGATCACTTATAGAACTTCATGTTTAGAGCAACCCTTATGGAGCAAGCGATAATCTTTCTGATGAACCCGTAAACCGCTACGGACAAGCGCTATATCCAAGCCTTTTGTGCAGGTGGAAAAGACACGTGACTTGAACAACATACCTAATGAGAGCCCGGGATACTCCAGCCGAAGGTTCCATGAGGGGCTGCCGCCCGACAGCGCGACGGGCGTTCTTCCCCAACAGAGACTGAGGCCTCGTGATCAGCAAACCTTGTGTTGGATGTAACGTAGGTTTAGGGAGTTTAGGGTTTAGGGTTAAGGATGGTTCAGGTAGGTTTTCAGTTTAGAGCATAAGACGTGGGGTATATGAATAGTTTACATACTGCAAGAAACACAAACAGAACGAGGCTCCCTTTCCAACGAGGGTCTTTTCGGGTTCATAGTTCTGTTTTTGTCTGAGGGCTGAGAGGGTTCTTCGGGTTCTGGAGGTGCCTTATAATATTATAAGGGTATACAAGGCGGCCTTTGCATATAATCAGAATAGGGTTGATGTCATTGCTATTTCTTGAGACTTCTCTTTTGTCCCTAAATGTTCCTAGACGCTAAACCCTGAAGGTTTAAGAGCCCGTCTCTCTTTTGAGTTTCGTTGTCTCCTTGTGCATAGGGTTTCAATTTTAGATTCAATGGTTTAGGGCGCAAAACATCCGTAAACCGTGCAGGCATCTCCCACTGTTTTTCAGGGTTTTGGTGGACCCCTTTTGGCGAATCTGTTGGTTGAACCATCTAAAACATAAAACGCTTAACCATGACTAAGCCCAAAACCCTAACCGTTAAACCCTAAATCCTAAACCCGGAACCCTAAAAACCGTGGCTCAATGCAACAACTTAGCGCCTCGAGCGCTGGGCCGTTAACGAAGCACAACCCTAAGCCAGAGACCAGAACTGCTCCTGAACGTTTCCTTCTGGCCGAAGATGTCTTGGGCTAGGGTTTAGGGTTCAGGGTTCAGGGATTAGGATTTTGGGGTTCTGAACCTTAGGTTTTGGGCATCAGATATCGGTGTTTGGGGTCTTATGGGAAGGACTGGGGCTTCCTTCCGGGTCTCCAGCCCTTACGTTGTCTAGCGGCCTAGACAACTACCAATACTATTGTGGGGTCCTTATTATAATATATAGATATATATGTATATATATATATATACTCTTAATCTTTGCTAATTGCTCAGGCCCCTGTATTAAAGCTAAGATTTGGAGTTATTCAGAGTTCCAAACCACTTCGGGGTTTGGGGTTTTTGGGCTTCTGGGCCTAAACCCTAAACCCTTAATAGAACCTTATTATAGATTCCTTAAAGGGAACCTTAAAGGCTCATCCCTAAACCCTTAATAGAGCCCTGGTTCTGCCCTGTCACTGTCCACAAGGGAGGGAGTCGAAGATCCCAACCTGCTGGGCCCGAAAGCTCCAAACCTTGAAAGCTTCGACTCCCTAAACCCTAAACCCTAAACCTTAAACCCTAAACCCTAAACCCCCTAAACCCTAAACCCTAAACCTTAAACCCTAAACCCTAAACTCTCCTAACAGGGACCCAACACCCCAGGAACCTGAAAGCGGGCTTTCGAAGGTAGCTTTGCCCCTTCCAAGTGCGTCCGAACCACAAAAGGGGAGTTTCCGAAAATAGGGGACCCTGCTATAGTTCCCTAAATAGTAGGATGCTTAGTATAAGGACCCCCATATAAGGGTACCCCTAAACCCTTATAGAGCCCCTTAAACGAACCCTTATAGTCGCCCTATAGCAACCCGAACTGGCTCAAAGAACTCTGGAAGCACTTGAGGCTGGTATTCGCTTCACTTCGAGGGCACGTAAGGACGGATCCTCGACCCCCAGAGTGAAGCAGCTAGCAGCTAACTTAGGGTATAGGGCCTCTTAGGGTTTAGGGGTTTAGGGCTTAGGGTTTAGGGCCTTTGGGGTTTAGGATTTGGGCTTAATTTAGGGTTATAGGGCCTCTTAGGGTTTAGGGCCTTTGGGGTTTAGGATTTGGGCTTTAGGTTTCAGGCCTTAGGATTTTGGGGGCCTGGATGTGGTGACTTGTTGCTAGTACAAGACCCTCCGAAGCCCTATTCCAATGACTTTGGCCTCTGTCCTAGCGCTTTGGGGTTGAGGGCTCATGGGACAGAAAGCTCGTGAGTTCCGCAGAGTTAAGGGAACTTCGCGCAGTCTACACCTTGCTTTCACGGATTCTGAAGCCTATCAGCTTAGGGTCTCTGGAAGGTTTTTGGGATGCAGGTTGGATTTAGGGTGTAGGGTTTGGCATTCAGGTTTGGGGCTTAGGGCTTAGGTCAGGGTTTCGTGGTTTAGGGTGTTTAAGGCTCAGTAGTAGTAGTAGTAGTAGTAGTAGTAGTAGTAGTAGTAGTAGTAGTAGTAGTAGTAGTAGTAGTAGTAGTAGGGTTTAAGCTTACTCGTCAGCATGCCTCAGTAGATTCCCCAAGGAATTTGAAGCATAAGTCGAAGCTTCAGAACATCGGGGACCCTCACTGACTGAAGTATAGAAATGCTCGCCTCGAGGGAAATTAGTTTAGTTTGAGGTCCTAAGACTTCAGCAGCTTGCAGCTTTTCACTTGTCCGTTCAAACGTATGAGCAGTGCGAACCCTAAGACCCGCAAAGGCCAGAATCTGCAAGCCTCCACTCTGCTACTCAAAAGCCCTTCTAGGACCCGAGTAGGACCCGATAGTTTTCGGAACCCTTATCAAACCCGAAGGCCCAACCCAAGCCCAAAACCACCCAACGTCCTGAAAGCACCAACAGCAACCCAAAAACCCTTCAACCCTGAAAGTCCCAAAAAGCCCACAACCCCAAACCTCAAACCCTAACCTTAAACCCTAAGCCCTAAACACTAAAGCTCACACCCTCAACCTCAAACCCTAAACCCCTCAAAGCCCTCAGCCGTCCTCGGTTCGGAGAAGCGGGGCAGCTTTAGAGTTGAGCTCACGAAGTGAGCTCCCCCGATTGCACTAGGGGCCCAGGGGAACTGGTAAGCTTTAAAAAGTTTTCATGGTTAAAGACCGCGGTTTAGGGTTTAGGTTTGAGGGTTTAGCGTTTTACAAGGCCTTGTACGAGTTTCATGAGTTGTTGTAGGGTTTAGTGAATTAGGGTTTCACAGTTCTGTCTCGGTTCTTGTAACGGTAGCAGAGGAGTTTTGTAAGGCATTTATGAGGCCTTAGGGTAGTTAGAATCGGTTTTGAGGGTACGTGTTATAGAAGCATACGAAGGGCTGTACCGGGATACTTTTGCTGCTTTTCAGACATACATATTGGGGGTTTGAGTGGTGACGGGGGCATAAGGCTGGGATAAGGGCCTAAGGGTTTCCTGGCTTCCAGCTTTAGGCGTTTTAGGGGGTGAAAGGGCTCAAAGGTTCCGGATGAAAAGGTTTGGGGCCGAAGGGTCTTGGATGATGTGTGTGTGTGTGTGTGTGTTCTTGTGCCTTCGAGCTGGGGTTCCACAGCATGGCTCAGGTTCGTTTCTGAACTCTCGCCCCCAGGCTTCGGAGCACAGGGCTTGGGATTTAAGTTTAGGGTTCACAGTGTAAGTGTAAGGTTTTAGGGGCTGGCAGATTAGACGATGTTGCTTGGTTGCACGAGATTTGAGTCGGGAGGCCGTTGGCTTGCTGCCTCGGATGGTTGGTTTGCCGAGGCGCATAAAGCATCGTCGCCTAGTATCTGTGCCGCGAGTACTCCGGAAGTCTTGTTGCTGCTTAACATCGTTGAGGAGTTTCAGAGGAAAGGTATTATCATCAAATGTTATCCAACTGCTGTTTCCCTGGGCCCGTCAAAAGATTTCGCTTGTGGGACTGCCAAGGGCCACTGTGGTCCTGTTTGAGTTTCATAACTTTGGCTCCAGCATAGTAAGCTAGAGGGTTTGGGGTATATATTGTGCAGTGATTTACCGACTAGAGTATACCAATCCTACAATTGCAATATTCTATGTTATATATACACTACAATGAAATACTAACCATAGGTTTTTAATATATGCATTAGAACAAGGTATTCAAACCCCTATATTTCAGGAGCTGTGCTCACTCCTGAGCTTGGGTCTCGACCTCTTGACGCCCAAGGTTTCAGACAAAGCGTGGTCCCCTTAGGATGCTAGCATGGGACTTTCAGAAAGGAGGTTTTTTGAATAGTGTTTGATGTGGATGTATGGGAGTTTCAGACAATCAAAGACCCTAGTATGGACCCTTGACGGTAGGACCCTGATTATGATTTTAAGGGCCCCTGAATAAGGTACCCCTCACCTTCGGCAGTCCCAGTATTGCAGTTGACCGAATGGCACCTCTCCGGCACGAGTGCCCGACACTCCCAGACTGCTGTGGTCGCCGCAACAAACCCTCAAAACCCAAGCCTTTGTGAACTAAGCGCCAGCCCCAAGACTCAACATGCCCACAATATTGGGGGATAAAGGACAACCTCAGAACTTACGCAAGAAAACTAACTCCTTGAACCTAACGACAAGAGAAGACCGCAGGCGATTAAACCTAGTGCATAGACCGCGTTTGTCCTGGAGGTCCTTCAGCCAAAGACGATTAATTGCCTACGTAAATGCCCACATATTCAGTGTCTGGGGTTTAGGGTTGAGGGTCTAGGGAGTCAGGGTTTAGGGGTGTGGAGTCTTGTACGGGCTGCCTGAGGAGTCTTGTATGCAGTGTTAGGACATTGATGAAGATTGGAAATTAGATGCAAGTTTATAATATGGAGGAAGCTTGTACATTGTACAAGTTGTCAGAAGCATTCGGCAAGCTTGCACAAGTCATAAGAGATGTAAACGAAGCTTTGCCTTGATTCTTGTAAGCTGGGCATACTCCAGCTTGCAGAATGGCGAGCAAACGAGCAAACCGTCGGAGGACACCAAACGGATTCGCAAAGGAAACCTGGACGAGAGCGCACAGTAACGGGTGTGCATGGCTATGACACAAAGTCGAGTCTACTCGCAGACAAAGTCGATTGGCCGAAGGACCTAAGATCTTATCAGCAGATGGTGTCTCTTCACCACGTTCATCTGTAATTCGCCGTGGGCAAGCATGCTGTGGAGTGGCGGCACATCTCTACCCGTTTGGCAATTGCGGATGTCGACAGCTAAAAGCCTTGGTCCTAACTACTGATTCCTTCTCCACCCTTCCTTCGTGATCGAAGATGCCTCTACCTGCAGCA